CAAATATAATAAAATAAAATAAAATGTCTATCATACTTGGGCGTACAAAATTTTTGATTCTTATTTATATATCTGTCTAGAATTTAATAAAAAATTAATTAACATTAGACAAACGAAAGAAAATTAGTCAAAACTGGTCACAATATATATGGGCAAATCTAAAAAAACAGGTACACTTAAAAAAAAAGTTAATTTTTTTAATTTGAGAGCACACCTATGTTGCCTATGGGATTTTACCAGATCTGCGCACTTTAAGATTACGATTACATTTTTATTACTTAGGATTGCGATTACTGTAATTTCCAGCATAACGATTACTGTAACTGTAATTATAACATGCTTGATTAGAGATTGGCGCTTACACATATGTTAGTGTTTGGCGATTGTATTTTTATATGAGAAGATGTTTTTCTTGGCGGAAATACACTCGAAGGTTTGGCATTGTCTTCCGAGGGGAGACCGCTGTTAAGAAAAAGCCGTTTTTCTATATTTTTTGCGATTTCGCTTTGACTTTGATTTGAGGGCTTGAACCCAGGCACTGCGGAGTGGAAGCGCACACTGCTAACCACTACATCACAGCGGCCGCCAAGCTTGACATGCTTGATTGCGAATACATACTTTAATTCTAGTCCTTAAAATTTAACGACTACGACTTCTGTAGTCGTAATCGTACTTTTGATGATTACGATTGTAGTAATCGTAATCTTAAATATTTAAGATTGCAATTACCGTAATTGTAGTTATGAAAGTAATCGCAATTATGCAATTCATGATTACGATTGCAGTAATCGAGAAATAGGTTTTGCTTAGAGCAAAGAAACCCAAAAGAATTTAAATCCAAGGTGGCGGAATGGTGCCAAATGAAATTTAGGGGCAAGACTGTGGATCCATGATCTACGTGGCAAATAGAAGTAAACTGCATCAAAAAATTGCTGTTACACATTTTTTTTAAAGAAAAAGTCTAACTTTACTGGGCTATTATCTTGAAAAGTTGGTTTATTCTGAAAGCTCATCTTTTGCTGAGGTATCAAATTATTCGGAATTGTTTGTAGATACATACAATACATATTTAAAATGTTTTAAAATAAAATGTTTCAAAAACTATACGCGATAATAGCTCAACCAGCCATTACCGACGGACGTCACCGTCATGCGGTGGTAAGTTTTCGTTAACACGAGAATCCCATACGGTTTTACGTCGATGGCTGGTTGAGCTATAAGCCGAAAATTGTGAAAAGTAGAGTTACACACTTTTCATTTTATGTATTACGTACTGTTCGCCCTTGGTCCGCAAAAGCTTTTAGTTTTTGGTGGTCCCTACGAAAAACTATGTTAAACTTGACTATAAATCTGCCAACATAAGAACTATCTTTAAACTCGTCTTATACGAATATCAAGATAAAAGTTATGCGCAATAATTATTATTACCATTACTGCAAATGCTGAGGTTTTCTTCCCATTTTTATTTTTATTTGGTCTTAAAATTTTTTTATAAAAGTTATTAAAATTTTTTAAATATTACTGACATCTCAATAGCTTTAAAATCGCGTTTTGGGCTAATATTGTTGTAAGTTCTATTGGCAATTATTTACAGATGATGAGGTTTTCTTCCCATTTTTATTTTTATTTGGTCTTAAAATTTTTTTATAAAAGTTATTAAAATTTTTTTTAAATATTACTGACATCTCAATGGCTTTAAAATCACGTTTTGGGCTAATATTGTTGTAAGTTCTATTGGAAATTATTTACAGAAAAAAATTTGCCGGGTTGCATCGAGACGAAAGTTATTCACGCTTTTCTCTTGAAATTTCACTAGCACTACATAGTGATAGTGTAATAGAATTTTCATCTAAAGTGATAAAGGGATAAATTGCTGAAATTTATGAGTTTATCCGCATTCTTTCATGAACGCACCTTGGTAAATAATTGCATACAATTTTCTGTTATTTAACTTATATGATGGCTAGTTACGTTTCAATCTTACCTCGTCCATTGTGTTCTTTTGGTTTTATGTGTTCGTAACAAAAGCGACCACCTGGCAACCTGTAAGGGTTGAATTTGGCTAAAATTTATACATTTATCCATTTAAGTCGTTTGATAATGTGATAAACTTTGGTTAAATAGATTTCGTTACAAAGTTTGACAGTTAATTTAACAAAATGATAAATTTATCATTTTATCAAGTTTATCACTTTTAATGAAAAAATATTTTTTATTTTTCGAATTTTGTATAAAGTAAAACGTAGTGGATATTCGCCCGGAACTTACAGTGGAATCATTTTTTTTATTGGTCCGGAAAGTCCGGATTACTATTGCTCAGTTATTCGCCCGGGAAAATAATTTGATTTGATTGTTTTGTTTGGATCGTTCATTTAATAAACGTCTAAGTACATATGTTTTGGTTTAACGTAATGCATTTAAAATATATATGTATTTTTGTAGAGATGGGCGTATGTAGATACATATTGAGTTCGTACGAGTTAGAAGTTTCCCATGCAAATACATTTTTTTTACGCGGTGTGGTATAGAAATTGAACCGCATAGGCTGATTTGCTTGAAAATTTATCTATTTTTATGTGAAAAATGTTTGGTCCCAGTTAACCGCGTAAGAAGAGGATCAGGTGTAAATAATTGCAAACCAAGTTTTTCAGAAAACAACCCAGTGTCGTGTACGTGCAAATGTAGATATGCATGTACATATATCTATGTTAAGAAAAGTTCATAAATACATGCACATACATACATATGTTTGCATTATTTATAAATGTTCAATGTTAAAAACCAAAAGTTAATGACATATACACATATATACATACATTAAAATATGTACATATGGATACATATAAATAAACACAAGTGTCAATAAATGAGTTTATTTTAATATACATTCCTATCTGTATATGTATGTACATATGTGTATAACATATACATTAGATGCCTTATTTTCTAAATACATTTTGCTAAAGTATTTCAGATCCTCCCTCCGGTAGCAGAATGTGAAAATAGGGCGCTAAGAACTTAACAAAATGCAAAAAAATACTCACTATTTCAAAAACTGGATGAGCTACTCTGTAGGCTTAGGTTCTTATATCAAAAAACATTCATCTGCACAAGCGAGAAAAAAAGAGATATCCAACCTCATGAAGAATAAGCCGATAATAAAGCGAATGGCGTACTCAGTTTTTTAATACAACCGGAAAGCTAACCACGCGCCGTAAAATGACTATATTGCATTATTTTTTACGATTTTTTCAAATTTATTTGTTTTCTCAAATCTATTTGATTGTCCAGATAGTGTAAATTTTCCAATATTAAAATACTTAAGATTGTAGCTAATTTATTGTAGTTATTAAAACAGCTAACAGATTTTGAATTGATTTATATTTGAACTAGTAAATTAGGTTTAAGTAAAGCCAGTTTGAGTACAATCAGGTCTGACATATTTTAAAATTTGTAGAAGTTTTTAACAATATATATGTAGGTAGGGAAATAGTTTCATGTGCGCAGTTACTATTTGAAAGAAATAAATAATTTCCGAAGATGCTAACCTCTAGCAGTAATGTCGAAGGGTAGGAGAAATGTTGGTTTAAATTTATATTCTCTATGTTCCGTTCGTTTGTCAAATCTGTCTTTTTAATGTTAACGTATTCAGAGTACAAATTGGTCATGTCATGTTTCACTACTGTCTTCTACCTATCTTTAACTTAGTGGCGACGCACTTTTCTCTATATGTATTAAATTAATGAAACTTACGAGTTAGGAAGTAACTACTAATTTTAGTCGTTTTCTCCATAAAACCCATGCATGGAATTAATGCGGTTTCCCCCGATGTATTGCTTTAAATATAGACTCCATTTTACCAACGGAAAATATCTTATCGGAAAATTGGGCGTGGCACCACCTATACATGCGGCATTTTTGACACCGCATATCTCTGAAAGTATTTGTGGTGGAGTACTGAAATTCGGTACGGATGTAGTATATAAAATCAGTTCCATGCTCATGTAGAAAACTGAAGGTTACTGCAAAAATGGACGTGGCATCTATTCTGTCTATACTTATTACTAATATTATAAATGTGAAAGTTTGTATGTTTGTTACCCAATCACGCAAAAGGGCTGAACGGATTGGAATATTTGGCTCCAGATAGTTGTACTAGCGACTGACCTATTCAAAAAAAATTGTATTTATGGTCCGATTTTCCTAAAATTGCACCTAGGTCGTTTGGAATAATTTATTTTTTAATTAGAAACCATTTGGTGCTGCACTTCTTAACCGATTGAATGATTGTTTTACATTTCGAAAGGTGTTTTAAGGCGCCGCGAAGTAAGTGGGTATTGTCTAGTGTAATACAGTAATTTAATTATCAGTCGTAAATATAGACTTTACCTAAATTTAATTTACTAGTTAAAATATAAATCGATTCAAAATCTGCTCGTTTCCTTAAAAACAACATTAAATTAGCTACAATTTTAAGTATTTTAATTTTGGAAAAACTACTACTATCGGGAAAATCCTAACGAATAAATTTAACAATGCGTGGAAAATAGTACCATGTAGTCAGTTTATGCCGCGTGGGTAACTTTCTGGTTAGTTGCATTTAAAATCTGAGTACGCCATTCGCTTTATTATCGGCTTATTCTTCATGAGGTTGGTTATCTCTTTTTTCTCGCTTGTGCAAGATGAATGTTTTTTCATATAAGAACCTAAGCCTACAGCAAAACAGTCTTATAAATCACGGATTCCGGCGTAGCTCATCCAGTTTTTGAAATAGTGAGTATTTTTTTTTTTTTTCATTTTGTTAAGTTCTTAGCATCCTATTTTCATATCCTGCTGCCGTAGTGTTTCAGCTTTAACAAACTAAGGCATCTAATACATGTAAATTCATAAATATGTACATTATGTAAAAAGTAAAAAGGAAAAAGTTTGATAATGTAAGAGTTTGTTAGTTTTATTTAGTCGTTCTGCTCACATTACTTCTCTAAACATTTTCAATGCAGGCAACAATGCTGAAAAAAAGTCGGGGCAAGCGACGCCTCACTGAGCCACATATTTCCCCAGCAGTGTTAGCCAGTAGTTTATCAGCATCGGCAACAGCATCGGCTGCAGCGGCACAGGGTGCTAACCAAATAAGTATCAGCGGAGGCGGCGGTGTCGGATCGGGACTAGGTCAAGCGGCTTCGGCACCAGAAAATGGCGATCCCGACCGCGAGGCAGCGATTGGCACATAGAGATCGCGTCCGTCCGGTCCAAGTTTTTTGTTTTGTTGCTTCCTATGATTGTTGAAAACTACAAAATCACACTTTTGAAAGACATAAAAGAGATGCACCTTTAGCAGGACAAAGTGAAACAATTAAGCCAACATACAATATTTGGAACACACAAACAAATAAAATATGGCAATTAAGGTACATAACGGTCACAATTCAAGTCCATGCAAAAAAGATATAAATCATTGAGTACGATACATTATTTGAATGGGATTATTAGAATATTCAAGAAAATACAAATTTAATTCAGAAAGTAATAGTTAATTAACGATTTCAATAAACTTATATAATTGAAAACATAGAAATTGCGCAGAAAGATTTATAAATTTTTTTTAAATATTTTTGCTGTTAATTACTCATAAAAACAAAGATTCGTTGCTAAGAGTGCCAGCTTTGAGTTGAAAGTACTTTTTTTAAGTTACTTCTGTTTACTATATTGGTTTGGGGGGGTTTGGTTTCTCGTTCTTAATAGCATAGATATATCCACTACTACACTCTAAGCTGTTAGGCGAACAGAACATTTCAAAAAAGTACTTTCAGTTCCAAGCTGACATTGTAAACACTCTTTAAGAATCCAATGGTGTAAAGTTTGGCTGAATATTACTTAAAATAGTTTTTAAAAACTTATGCCTATTAGATTATATTGTGTAGATAAAAATTTAATGATACAGCCCGTACCACGCCTCTTCTGTTTAGAACAACATTAGCCAGATAACATTTGTTTATATTTTCATTTAAAACTGAGCTAAATTTTAGTTTTATTCAAATGATGAAAATGAGTCAACATTTATTGCGTTTTCTTGATCGTATAACGTACATATGTACATTACACTGAGAAAAGAGTTTAGTTACGTAAACTAAATATGTTTTTCTCAACACATGATTTGGTTATATTTACATAATTTGTTTATAGTTACCAAATCATGTCTTGAGAGGAATATATTTGCCTGACTTTTTTCTGAGTGTAGGATGGTTCTTAAAAAATCAAATGAACGGTTTTTTCAGTCTCACCCCCTCAATCGGTAATACCACATATAAATTTTGATCCCGATTGGAGACGATTAAGGCCTGTCGCACAGGGGCCAAAGTTCAGATTCCTCTATGGAGACGCAGAAAACTAAAATTAATTTTCTTCTTATCTAATACCCAAAATCGATACTACCATAGTCGAAGATATAATACATAAATTTTGGTCCCGATTGGGGTCGGTTAAGACGTGTCGCAAAGGGGTCAAAGGCCAGATGCCTCTATGGACTTAAGAAATTAAATAGTTTTTTTTTTTTTTATTTAATACCCAAAATCGATACTACTAAAGTCGAAGACNGCCAAAGTTCAGATTCCTCTATGGAGACGCAGAAAACTAAAATTAATTTTCTTCTTATCTAATACCCAAAATCGATACTACCATAGTCGAAGATATAATACATAAATTTTTGTCCCGATTGGGGTCGGTTAAGACGTGTCGCAAAGGGGTCAAAGGCCAGATGCCTCTATGGACTTAAGAAATTAAATAGNTGTTGTCTTACTCTTTCCTCACGAAATAATAGAAGGGGCATATATTTCTTTTGCAAACATGGGTTGTATTGTGCTCTTTTTTCACAAAAAACTTTAGAAAACCGTAGTAGAAAGCGTAGTAAATTTCTTAAGAACTGCGTACTGCCTTAAGGAAATTTGACTCAAGAAAATTTCTTAGCCATTTATTGTACGTCATTTTATATGGAGTTTTTGCTTTTCTTGAGAGCTGCATACAGGCCTTTAGAAAACAATAGTAGAAAGCGTGGCAAATTTCTTATGAACCTCGTACTGATTTAAAGAAATTTGACATAGGAAAATTTATTCGCCATTTCTTCAGCGTTATGTAGCGTTTATATGGAGTTCTTGCTTTTCTTGAGCGCTCTATACTAAGCTTAAGTTTTCATTGCGAATGAAAAAATGAATGAATTAAAACTTTTACATGGAAAATGTNTCGGTTAAGACGTCTTCATAGGGTAATCTGAAATTTGACCCCTGTGCGACCACGCCTTATTCTTCCAGCAGAAAATTCTCAAGAGCAAAATTCGAATGATATTGTATCTGTTCTCTTTCAAAGAGAGAAATGTTAGCAAAAGTACACGAACGCAAAACTAGCAAGTTTTCAGTACAGCTGCTCGGAAATTTGTTTACATACATACAAAAGCATAAAACAGAAAACATGAAAAGAATATCAATTAAAAGTTTTCCGAAAGCAATTTGCTAAGCAAACATGAGTAAATGAGTACTTGCTTTCTTCCGATATATTTGCAGTTCTAATAAGTTATTTGAAACTTAAAAATCTTAATAACAAATCTAAAATAAATTTCCATATTTTCATATATTGAAAACAGATGACTTTGATCAGCTGTTTTTCTTGCTGGCGAATGGCTGCTAGCAAAAATTTTTCCAGCAGAAACAGCAGAATGAAATGTCAATTTGATCTCTCAATTTACCCTACTTTGCTGGACTTTTATGTACGCGAACAGGAAAATCTGATAGTTTTTGATAGTTACGAAAAACTATGAATATGCGAATAAACCATTTTTTTCTTTCGATGCTCTTAAAGATATTTGGTAACTTTGGTTTGCAGGATTGCTTTCTATGGGAGCTTCTACATATCAGCGATATATTAATTTTAAGTCCATTTATAGAAACGTAATTGTATGATGAAACCTGCAAAAACATAAATTTGAAATTAATTGCACTGTAGGGACGCTAAAATGACCCGAAAAACGCCGAGACACGTAAGCTTAATTTTGGGTAGTAGATTTCGCACCTATGCAGNTTAGAGTACGCTTACGCTCTGAGAAACCACGCGTGTTAAATGGAAATGAATGTTCATTTATACTGGCATGTATACACAGCAGCAAGCTCATGCCACCAACAGCGATGTCGTATGCATAAAATTTCTACTGGGTATGTACACAGATGCTTTCTATCTGCCAANCAAGCTCATGCCACCAACAGCGATGTCGTATGCATAAAATTTCTACTGGATATGTACACAGATGCTTTCTATCTGCCAGGCACTTAAGTCATGCATGACATTGATATCAAAGGACGCCATTTGGTTTAAATTGTTTTTTTTTTTAACGTTTGAAGATACTACATACGTACATCCGGCAAAACGTAAATGCAGGAGTGAACTCGAAATACATATGTACATGTGTATATATGTATATATGTAGTATGTATAACTCCGTAATTTTTAACAAAAGTCTTCGGCATTAGTTTAAATTAGTACTTTATTTAAATGATTTTGTTCCTCTCCGACAAAAGATTGTTAAAAAAAAATATTTCTTTGCAAAAAGAACATAAAACATACAACTTATTGGTTTTGTGTGAAAGTAGGCGTGGCACTCAAAATAAAATATTTTTTATACATACATACATATGTATGTACTTATGTACATGTCGGAATTTTTATTAAATATTACCCGAAAAAATGATCTGACATTTACTTTTTTTAAATAATTTCTTTCAAATGTTGGCCGCGACTATGTACGTGTAGGTGGTCCATTCGGAAGGTCCAATTTCCATGCCAATTTCAATGAAGTCTTTCACAAAAATGAGTTGTAGATGTGTATAAGAGTCCCCCACTGTCATCGATAATATTATTGCTAAACTTTTATAATATGCATGTATGGATGTGCATATGTACACATAACGCATCAGGGATGATAGATAAGTAGTTCAGTCAGCGTTTCAAAATATCGTTACCTTCTCACGTCGGTCCATTTTTTGAAATTGTTCCGGAGAGACGAAAAATCTATGTAATTTCGCATTATCTGTGTTGAAAAAAGTGTGGGTAGCGATATGTGAAGCACATGTTATGAAAATTGCAGGTAGGGGGTATTGAATGTAAGTCCTCGATATGTACTTAGATAGGCCGCATAGGTATTTTTTCCAAATGTGAGATAATTTGATTGATTTCTCGATTACAGTTTTTTTCTATGCCTTTCATGTACGTATAGATATGTATGTATTTGTTCAATCTTTTGAATTCTCACAGCTCTTAATTACATAGATGTCAAGCTTGGTTTCAACTAGTGATGAGCGATTTGATGATTGTTGTTTGAATCGGAATTTTAGAGAAATACATACTAGGGAAAATTAAGCTCTAAGCTTCAAAAATTATCGTAAATGTTTCCTCGATCTTTTTATTCCAATATTGGTAAAAATATGAATTTTTTGAAACAAATAAACGTAAAACGCTATTGTTAAAGGATAGCCAAAGTTTTTCGTTAACTTTGAATATTAACACTAATTTGAATAACCTGGCTATTTTTTGCACAAAATGAGGTCTCAATCATTGAATGTAATAAAGTATTAAAGAAGATATCGTGCGGTAACACAAAAATTCCTTTGAAAAATAAGTATAATATACTTAGATAGAAGAATGTTCATTCTACAACAAGTTATTCAAAAACTCAAAAAAAAAACATCAAAATCCGCAATACATAGAAGGAAAACACCACATAAACTAAGAATGTAGGAAATTCATCATTGACAAGAAACTCACAACCATAATATATAAACGCAAAAATGTCGTCAATCCCTGTTACCGTTGACTAAATAGTAGTAGCTTTTGCTATAAGTGACTTGTTATTTACAGTGAAAAATCGCCCAAGAGTGAAGTATCGCTCATAAATAATCTCAACTGTAGCGAAACATCTTTCTACACCAGTAATTTTTTTACCAGTTTCTACACTCGTAAATACTTTTCACGGCAGAAAACAAAATTTCCAAACTTTTGTTATAAAATCAAAAACATTAACCGCTTTCTAGAGCAGTTTTCCTAACAGTTTTATGGCAACAGGAAGCTGGCCGTCAATGATGAATATGTAAAATGTGTTGCTGTGCGTAAGCAAGCTTTTAAACACTGATCTCGAATTTCAATGAAATTAATCAGTTCCTTTTGAAAATTAAAAAAAAAAACACTAGGGTAGCTGAGTTTTTACAATATTTCTTTCAAATTTCACCATTCACGCATTTATGTATAAATTTCTAGCCGCGACGTATTTTTCTCTTTCTTTAAGTATAAGGAGAACCAAATGGCTGAGCGAATTTCGTCGAAAATAATAAAAATATAAAAATACATAAGCGAAAATAGGAATCCCCAAATTTGCCCATTCTGCTATGCAATTCCTAATAAATATCTGCTAGATTTTCTTTCACAGACGACTGATTTTGTGGCTAGTGGCAAAATTTTTGAAATGTTCATTCCGTTTATACTTTTATACAAATAAATTTATGTATGTATGTACATATGTAAATAAGTATATATATTATGATCCACACATCTTACACTTGACATATCCCGCACGTGCCAAACCAAAGCATTGAAAAATATTTGCTTATTCAACATAGCTTTTTTCATTTGCTCAATTAATTAATTCTTATCCTTCAATATTGATATAAGGTTTTTTTTTCTTGTTTACTTTAAATTGCAATCTTAAGACTCTTGGCTAATGTTCGTTTACAATCGTATTAGCCTTTGCTATATTTTTATTGTTGTGACTTTTTTTTTTGCTGTATACTTCTTAACTAATAAACGTCCGTTTAGCTCCAAACTGAAAATTATGTACGAACCATCTTAATCAAATATTACTTTCTTTATTTTTCTTTATTATGTCTCACGATTCGTTTGGAAATAATATTCAACACATTTGACACAATTAAAAAATTGTTAAATGTAAAATAAAAACCACCAAACACATAACTGTATCCAACCTCTTGTCTGAAAAACATTGTTAAAATACATAAATAAATATGTATGATGGAAAAAATTTACCGGACGGAATCTACTTGATATAATAATAATAATGATAATAATTAATCTGTTGGAAAATCAAAAATTAAAACCGTAATTTCAAAAATTCAACTACAACGTGCATCAACTTTATTGATAACCGGAAATCCATTTGTGCCAAACAGGCCACAATGTTGAAAAAGAACAAGAGCAAAATGAAGCGTCGTAACACAGAGCCAACAATGGCACTCATCGGTACAGCAACGCCACAATTCTCGCTGGCACCAACAACTGTGTTGGCAGCTGCCAGTGACACAAGCTTAGGCGATACAAACACCGAAGATGCTCCAAATAATACCGACTTCTGAATATGGTACAGTGAGCGTTTGATTTAACGTGCTAATTAATTTACTGAATTTTTAAAAGGCATGCAATTGAAAATCTATTTTTAGGTTTCGTGTAATTCAAAGTCAACGATTTTATTTATTTTTTTTTTTTTCTAATAATCAAACATTCCAAATGTTAACAACCTAACAACCTATGTACATGTTTTAACAAAGCGTCCAGGTATTTTTCAAGTATATATATATATGTATATTAATTAAAAATATTGAATTTTTGAACCGCTGTTTACCCCGAGACGCTATTTGACTCATATAAATGCATACATACATACATATGTATACTTTCACATACATAAATATGTATGGATGAATTAATTTTTATATAAATAAAAAGTCAAATGTATGTACATATTTACTGAGTTAAAATTCCATAAGCCGCCCAATCAATCCTATGTGAATGCTGTGGAGAACTTCTTCTTCAAAAATGCAATCCAACGTTTTCAAAATACTTAGTATAAAGGTATTGTAAAATTGTTTTTTTTTGTTTTTTTACAATAAAAGACCGTTTCAAAGGCACTGGTTTTATTTGAAGTATTTGTGTGATTAGTACGTTAAATGCAAGTCGCTCTCTGTATTCTATTCATTTATTACTTATTATTCACTGATATTACAAATAAGAGAAAAATAATAATAACCGGTTCTGAATTCATGAGTATATAGAAACGTACATATGTACATATGTAGCACCTAATAACTAATCAAAATATTAAAGACCTACAACAATTAGAGAAAACACTCCTAAAAAACACATGTATATGTCTACAAAGCAAAAACGTTGCCTAAATTTCTACAAGACAACTTGATTTGAATGGTTAACAGTAACAACCGATACCAAGAAATTAAGGAAATTTATTGTAAAAAAAGTTTCATGAAACCATTAAAGTTGAACTATGTACATATGTACATGCATCTACCAAGCGTTGAAATCCAATATGTAGGTATGTAAATAATAGGATGAGATCATACATATATATGTACTTAATTTGCTGGCTAAGTTTAGTTCCATTACTATCCAAATTACCTACATGGATTTTGTTTTAAATTATGTTCAACTGCCTATTTTTCTCCTAAACATAATTTGCAATAGGGTCAGTATTGCGATAAGGAAGTATTAGCAAATAGTAAATTCGAAAAATTCCAATACGACCTAACCTAACTCCGTAATTGCTCTTAAAATTAAAGTAAATTTCTGATTGCATCGTATTTAATTTATTCCAACCTACATAAAACCTTGTTAACTGTTTGATAAAGAAATCAACTACATAGTAGCTTCCAAGCTACTTTTGTTTGTTTTAAATTAAAATTTGTAAATTGTTTGATAAAGTCTAAATGCTACATAAAACTTCAAAAGAGTAATGTTTAGAGATATGTAAGACATCAAAACGGTAATAATTCGTTGTTGTGCGTTCTTACCNAAGAGTAATGTTTAGAGATATGTAAGACATCAAAACGGTAATAATTCGTTTGTTGTGCGTACTTACCTATGTAGTTATGCTACAAGTGAAAGTAATATAACAAAATTTAGAAAACTTACTTAAAGCATACAACAACAATGCCAACAAGTAAACTGTAAACAATTAATGCTTATAGTTATTGATTTTTTCAAGCTCATAACTTTAGCATTTACATATATATATATATATATATATATATATACACATTTATGAAAAATTGACAAAAATAAATAAATGCTAATTTTTTGCTAAAGATTGTTGCCTAGGCGTCACGGAACTTAGACATCAGTGCTTTAGCAATCCTATTTACAATCACATATACATTTATACATAATACACGTTTTATTCAAAACTTCATTATCAAATAACCAAATACATATGTATTTGTAAAAACAAATTGAATAAAGTACAGAGATAAATCGCCTTCACTTGCTGCGATTAGGGGCTCAGTGAATGTGGAATAATCGGCAGCGTAAAAAAGCGTCCGTGAACCATATTGGCCGTTACACACTGCAGACTCGAGTCGACTTAACAACGTGCCTTGCACTTATGTAACACCTGCACACACAATAAGGAACCCAGAAGTTTCGAATTATGTTTATTTAAATACATCTATACATAAAAAAAAAACATACTTAGTAATTAAGTTTTTATTTAATTGTAGGCGGTTGCAAGCTATGTTGCTAAGTTAAGCGTGCTAGGTCAAACTTTTGATTAACTGCATTCACAAAAAATCTGCAGCTGGTGGGCGATTTGAAACTGAAACTCAAGAATATAGAAATTAAGCTAAGGAATGAATGATTAAAAAAAGCCAATACTGTTAATGCCATATTTTTTTAGCTGAAAGTATGGACTTAATGAAAAACGCTCCTCTAATCATAAGAAATCTTAGAAAGCTATGTAAGTACAAAAAAGCTGAATAAATACTTACAAAATATGCAAATATTTAAAGAAATCCAAAACATAAATATCAATACAAATTGGACTACAGAAGTTATGTAATTAAATATTAGAAATCGATGTAGTGTTTAGCAATAAGTGGTGAACTAAATTATAAAAGAGAATGCTAAAACTTAAAAATAAATTGAAAACAAGCAAATTATGAAACCAATGAAAACATAAAGGCGATCAAAAATTTCTGCAAACATACTGTCAAACATAGTGAATAGGAAAGAGAGCGTAGTTCCTCTCTGGCGAAAAAATTAAGCACATGACATCCCGATCTCTCTCTCGGTATTTTATTAAAGTTAAGGTATAGAGAATGATGCGAGGGTTCATTCCTTTTTTCTAAACCACAGTATGTAGAGGCAAAAAAATTAAAATCCGAAGCAATGGTGAGTAGATGATTTTTATCTTAGTTAAGCGTAAAGGACATTTCCTCTATAACATAACGGTTTAGAAATGGAATTGGTTGCTTTGATTGGTTTTCGAACTCACCGAAATACATACAAAAGTATTTTGATGAGATTTACAAAAGAATACAAAAACATCATAGCAGATTCGCATCACTTTAGATTCAACCTGTCCATACATGCTCTTTAAGAAGTTGGCCTCAAAGATATTATAGTAAATTACATATACCTACAGATGGAGGGCATAAAAACAAAATCAACAATTTGCTTGCAGACGTAAATACTGAATGAAATGTACAAAACTATGCACCTAGCCGTCAACTCCACAAAGATGTAGAATAAAATAAAAAGTGTTTACGCTCATATTTAGTAGGTATGTACGCAAAAAAGCAGCGCTACGAACTCCAGACCCACAGCACCACAGGGGGTTTTAAAAACTTCTTGCGTCTATTTATTTATATTTATTGAGTGTACAATAGTTACTATTCCAGTAATTTAAACATACTGGAAACATGCACATATACATACATACATATAAATATCTACATACATACATACATTGACAGAACTTGTGTTCTTTAATTAAAAAAAATATGTATGTATGTACAATAAAATAGATATACATACATATACTATATTGTTGGTACATACAGCAATGACGGTAGATTTTAGGCGGAAGGAAATCGCCTCATTATTATTACCTGCTACATACCTACATTTGTATTTAATTTCATAAAATGCAATAGGACCAAACACCTGCCCTCATTATGTGGTAAACTAAACATTTTTGTTGTTGTTAGGCAACTAAATGAAACGTTCTCAACAGTTACTACATCATGTAATTCTACACAAAATTATTTGCAAATGCGAAACCAGTTGTCCAGCATCTTTTTTCTAAAAAAGCAAAATACTTTTGTATATATGTATGTATGTATGTATGTAAACACATAAGTATGTACATACGTACAAATATACATTAACACAAAATTAACTTTACTTTGAAGAAATCACAAACACCACGAAAAAACTACAAATGATCCTAAAAACTTATTGAATAAATGTAAGTGTGCAAATAGAAATCAACAAAAATGAGCAACTACAAAAATAAATGTAACTAATGACAGAAGTAAAGAAGATCAGATGGAGTTTATATTTACGAACAAGTGCATCCATGTAAGGTAAGTCACAACCTGTTGTATGTTGAATAATTTTCTTAACTTTAAGTGTCAAAAATCACATGATAGCATAATTGAGCTACTGTGCAAAATAATCGTAGATCAGACAGAATCAAGGCGCATTTATACCAGGTGGTGTTACTAGAACAGCCGATTTGATATTTTGGTCGCTACCCTGGTACAACAGAATGTCATCCAAGACGAAATGGCGTAGCTCTAGGATTTCAACAAAACGAAGTGACGAAAATTATCTCCTATTTTATGTTGTTTTGACATCCTTAAGTACCAAAAAGCAATATCCAAATACACAGGATTTTTACTTATATGCGCTTGCTACCACCTTATATAAATGTGCCTTGGACATTTAGCTTTGAGCTCAACTTAAGGTTAAGTTGAGAACTAAGGTATATCTCAAATCTCCAACGTTGTTTCTCAACAGTACCTCAAGTGGAGGTGAACGCTATGATTCACAACGAAAAGCGCATTTTTCTTTGTATGAAAAAAGGACTGTTTCTCAAGTTGACAAAAAGTTAGTTCTCAATTTGAATNAATTGAGCTACTGTGCAAAATAATCGTAGATCAGACAGAATCAAGGCGCATTTATACCAGGTGGTGTTACTAGAACAGCCGATTTGATATTTTGGTCGCTACCCTGGTACAACAGAATGTCATCCAAGACGAAATGGCGTAGCTCTAGGATTTCAACAAAACGAAGTGACGAAAATTATCTCCTATTTTATGTTGTTTTGACATCCTTAAGTACCAAAAAGCAATATCCAAATACACAGGATTTTTACTTATATGCGCTTGCTACCACCTTATATAAATGTGCCTTGGACATTTAGCTTTGAGCTCAACTTAAGGTTAAGTTGAGAACTAAGGTATATCTCAAATCTCCAACGTTGTTTCTCAACAGTACCTCAAGTGGAGGTGAATGCTATGATTCACAACGAAAAGCGCATTTTTCTTTGTATGAAAAAAGGACTGTTTCTCAAGTTGACAAAAAGTTAGTTCTCAATTTGAACTTCAATGTGATTCTCCAATTGGTCTCAAACATATCATTGAAATACTGAA